AATAACCTACGGTTTTTTCGTGAGTCACCTAAGGCTTTCTACGCGAGTAACCTAGGGTTTTTCCGCAAACAACCTAGGGTTTTGCCGCGAATAACCTACGGTTTTCCCGTGAGTCGCCTAAGGATTTTTCCGCGAACAGCCAGGGGTTTTCCGCGAGTATCCTAGGATTTATTTCACGAGTAAGTTACGGTTTGTTCCGCGGTTTCTGGGAGAGAAAGTTTTATTTTTCCGAAAGGTTCTCGGAAAACGTCTTTTGCTTAACGCGTGAGATTTGTCCAACTCGGAAATAAGAAAAACACTATGGGGTTTGATAGATTTTATCGTTTCCCTTAGTGATCTGAGGTAGAAATCGTGAGCTCGTTTTGTTGCTCTTCCCGTGGCGAAGAGTCGCGATTAGGTTTTTCGATTTTGTTGAGTACTACAGCGTTTGCGTGAGCGTTGGCTGTACGAGTAGTCGCTGCTGGAGTTGTTTTACCAGCGTGTTTTTGCGAGTTGCGACTTTGTCTTTCATACATCCAGACATCGTCTTGGTCAAGCGTTTTGCGGCTATGAGTAAGAGTAATCCGACCCCCCCTCATTCTAGCGCCAAACTGTGGGAACTGAAATTCACACTTGTCGATTTCCGCTAAATAAGGAAACTTAGGAAAACCCTAATTTTCCAGAGGAACCGGATCTCTACGAAAGCCAACGACAAGTAACCAAATAAATGCGGAAAAATATGAAAAAACATAATAAAACGAATTTATAAAGAAAGCCGATCTTATTTCCGATTCGTGTAAGAACGTTGCGATCAGTACAAGGAATTACAAAGGCTTTGGCCGCAGGGGCCATCAGCGAGTTACGAACATAAAACCCTAGATCTAGTCGAGTCGCAGCTCGATAACGAAAAACAGAAAAAGATAGGAAAAAAGGTTTGAATGATTTCGGACTGAACCTTATGAAAGGCTGCCTACGTACCCCTTTCGGGGATCAAGTCGAACGTAGTTCAGTTGATAGAGCTGGACAAGAGATCGAACTGCCAGGGCGAGTTCGTCTAGTAATTGAGCGCCAGTCATAAAAACCGAACTTGTCAAGAAAAAGTCTAAGTTTCTAAGTGCGGAAAATTCTAAATCTAGAAAAGTTGTGAAAGTCTCAGATGAGAGCTCTAGATTTCGTCCCCCTCTTCTGCCCTACGCCTCTGGTTTATATACTCCTTGCCTTGACGGTTCGATCTTTCCATTTTTCCGGATTTGAATATTTCGGAAATCTTCCATTTTTCTCGATCCTTCCTTTTCTTCCGCGGAAATCTTCTATTTATCTTCAAACTTGCCTTTATTTTCCTTCTGCGAGTAAACCGTCAAAACGTTATCAAATCTGCGGGTTAGATTCCATTGAAATCGCGAGATGGGTTTTTATCGCGTTTTAGGTCCTTCCGGGCCGTTTTGCGATAAATCCGTTTTCCGACTTTTTACGGGATCGTTTCCTGATCTGACTTCGTTTTTAATAAATTACTCGAGTTAATCGCAAGGTTTTACGATTTACTCGACTTTTTATTAAAAACACGTTTTTTACGACTTACTCGGCGTTTTTTATTAAAAAAACGCGTTTTTATGATTTTAACGAGAAATCTCGAATAAATCGTATAGTTTAGGCAATGTTCGGTGTTTCGTTTAACCGTTGCCGTTTTATACGATTTCCTAGATTTCTTTCCGAGAAAGCAAAGTTTTATGGTTTTTATCGTAAAACTCGAACGGTAAGTCGGATCGAGATGGAACGGGAGATGTTTTAGCCGTAGTTTAGAATGCGATCATGTCGAAAGACGTAAGTTTTGAATCGGGGATGCGGGAAATCGAGGCGCGGGATATCCGAGAAGTTTTTAGTTCGCCGATGGGCGAACTAGTTGAGGGACTCCAAGTTCGCCCATCGGCGAGGCTTAGTTCGCCGATGGGCGAACTAGTGGAGTGACTCTTAGTTCGCCGATGGGCGAACTAGTGGAGTGTCTCCTAGTTCGCCCATCGGCGAACTAAGCCGGGCCGGCTTAGTTCACCCGTGGACGAACTAGTCGTGACTAGTTCGCGTTTTACGGCTATTTCGGTTTTTTGCGGTTTCGTAAAACGATTCTTCGAGTTTTATAAAACGATTCTTCGAGTTTTATAAAACGATTCTCGAGTTTTATAAAACGATTCTTCGAGTTTTATAAAACGATTCTTAGAGTTTTATAAAACGATTCTCGAGTTTTATAAAACGATTCTTCGAGTTTTATAAAACGATTCTTCGAGTTTTATAAAACGATTCTTCGAGTTTTATAAAACGATTCTCGAGTTTTATAAAACGATTCCTCGAGTTTTATAAAATGATTCTCGAGTTTTATAAAACGATTCTTCGAGTTTTATAAAACGATTCTTCGAGTTTTATAAAACGATTCTCGAGTTTTATAAAATGATTCCTCAAGTTTTATAAAACGATTCTTCGAGTTTTATAAAACGATTCTCGAGTTTTATAAAACGATTCCTCGAGTTTTATAAAACGATTCTCGAGTTTTATAAAACGATTCTCGAGTTTTATAAAACGATTCTCGAGTTTTATAAAACGATTCTCGAGTTTTATAAAACGATCCTTCGAGTTTTATAAAACGATTCTCGAGTTTTATAAAACGATTCTTCGAGTTTTATAAAACGATTCTCGAGTTTTATAAAACGATTCTCGAGTCTTATAAAATGATTCTTCGAGTTTTATAAAATGATTCTCGAGTTTTATAAAACGATTCTTCGAGTTTTATAAAACGATTCTCGAGTTTTATAAAACGATTCATCGAGTTTTATAAAACGATTCTCGAGTTTTATAAAACGATTCTTCGAGTTTCATAAAACGATTCTTCGAGTTTTATAAAACGATTCTCGAGTTTTATAAAACGATTCTCGACTTTTATAAAACGATTCTCGAGNGATTCTCGAGTTTTATAAAACGATCTCTGAGTTTTATAAAACGATTCTCGAGTTTTATAAAACGATTCTCGAGTTTTATAAAACGATTCTTCGAGTTTTATAAAACGATTCTCGAGTTTTATAAAACGATTCTTCGAGTTTTATAAAACGATTCTCGAGTTTTATAAAACGATTCTTCGAGTTTTATAAAACGATTCTCCAGTTTTATAAAACGATTCTCGAGTTTTATAAAATGATCCTCGGGTTTTATAAAACGATTCTCAAGTTTTATAAAACGGTCCTCGAGTTTTATAAAACGATCCTCGAGTTTTATAAAACGATTCTTCGGGTTTTACAAAACGATTCCTTTTATATTTCTGCGGGAAGTTTCGGCCGTTGATTCCGTCGTACCGATTTTGACCCCAACAATGTGAGTCTTTAGTCTTTGCACCTGTTATGTTGTTTGGTTATGTTGATAGAGTTTTTTTGTTAGGTAATACTTAACAACCTTCATGCTTGTTTTCTTTTCACTGAAAAGGTGAAACGAGTACTTTACGAGTGCAAGAGAGGAGTAACTTCGGATGGCAAGGTGAAAGGACATTGCAAGTTTAAGCCTTCGTGGATTCCTAAAGTAAGCTTTGGCTTCAGCGTACTTAACAGATTTGGAGTAATTACTGTCATACTGGGTTTTCTCAACAACCTGATTGAAGAGAACAAAGAGCTCATGATCGAGGAGATGGCAGAGATTCAGGAGCTAATGCTCCTCCTCTGCCATCCCTTATTGATCTAGGATCTATGTTTTCTAGTTTATGGGTCTTTATGTGTCTATTGTCTAGTTTTTAGATTTTAGTTTATGGGTCTGTTGCAACCTAGTAAATGAACAATGGCAGTTTTGCTTGATCTATCACCAGCTTTTTAATTTATGCAGAACTTTTGTAATTTTATGCAAAACTTTTGGAGTTTTTAAATATGCATATGGTTTATAAGTATAAAGTACAAGTATAATGTCTCCATGTGTCTCCATGTCTAGTACTTTATAAGTATAAAGTACTTAACAGGGTCTCTCCATATGTACATTAGAGTCATAGGGTCATCGTCTGTCATGACCCCTTTTACTATGTTATACTCCACTGCGCTTATGTCCATAGGAAACAAAAGTGTTTATTTTTCTTAATAGAAACCGTATATTTAAATGTTATAATCCATTTTTCTCATACCGGGGAGATTCTGTAGCCTTGTCTTTGCTTTGTTTTGGCAACGGGAACAACACTTTAGATTGACTTTTAGTACGCAAGCCTGCAAAAAAAATTACACAGGAAGGCATAAGCAACTGAAAAAGTGTCTCAGAGAGATTGAGAGACGAGAAGAAGTGTACCCGGACGGGTTGGTTTGTGTTGGCCATTAAAGGGATGGTTGGTAAAAAGAAGAGAAGGAGATAAAAACCCAAAAACTTATGTTTTAAGGCATCGTTAAATTTTTCCATATACGAGGGACTTTCCATCAATAATTAGCATAATTTTACCACTAAATATTCGCTGGTTTCTATAAGCGATTGTATATTCCAAGATTCTGAAAATCAGACGGGGAATATCTCGGATCAATTTCGATAAGAAAATCCAGCAGCAGCATATCCTACTCAATCATGATATCTGCAATGGAGGCTTGATTCTTCATTTACAATTTTTGTGTGTGTTCATCTCTCTGCTTTTAATGGCTTTCCTATTCGACTTTGTTGTCGAGTGTTTCAATTTGGCTTTTTCAATCGATTTCTTTCTTAATATGAGCAAAGTTTCTTTAAAGTCACTTTGATACTATTTTGGAGATTGACATATGACAGTATATTTGTGGCTCATAAGCAACAACATAATAATTGATGAGGTAAATAAAAACTTCAACTAGAGAAAATGATAAGCTAATATGACAATAATGTCGCACTGGATTTGGAGATGATACAAAGAAAGCGCGAACAAAGGAAAAGAAAAAGAATAGTAATAACAACTCATATCTAGTAACAAATAAATGCCCATTTAACAAAACTGTGTAATCGAAAGAAGCATCAGTATGTAAAAAAAAGTGACCCCGGTTTGAAGTAAAAGCTCACGCTACCTTCTCTGGTTCCTTCACACTTTCTTGGGTTTCTTTGGCATCTGTTTCTGTTTCCTGGCTCTTCTCTGCCTCTTGCTGGATAGCAGTTTCAGAGCTTTGAGCATTCTTCTCATACGATTCAGCAGCTAGTTCTGATGCATCAGAGCTGGAACCTTCATCCCCACTTACATCTGGCGAGCTCTCAGTGGTTGCGACGCCACTTGCATCTGGTGACTTCTCTGTGGTTTCATCGCTACATGCACCTAATGGTGGACTCTTTGCATCTTTTTTCTCCGTATCATCACCAGTATCCTCTTTCTCGATTTGAACCTCTCCATTGGGAAATATGGTAGCTTCATCTGGGACTGAAGAAGGCGCAGTAGACTCGGAGGTCTCTCTCCATTCAACCCAAGAATGTGATTTTTCCGCTTCTGGTTCACTCGGGTTTTCAGAAGGATTCTTTGATGTAGAATCTTTTGTTTCCATATCAACAGGGGTCAGAGATGACAGTGTCCTTGAAGTCATCGGCTTCACCTATGACGACAACATTATCATCACCATCCTTATCAGCATCGGGTGATGGGGAAGCGATTGAGTTCACTGAGCGCTCATTTGTAGCTTTTTCATCATCGAAAGCAAACCAGTTTGAATCTGTGAAGAGACAACCGCTACAAAGACATTATAGTTACATTTTGTAAGTTAAGTGACCGCATCAGCCATATCAGGAGAGTCGATGAACAGAAACGGATTGATTTCTACCAGAATAGAAAAGTCAAACCCATTACCTCTCCTGATCATCTCCAAGGCGCAAGGAAGATATGACGACTTCTACAGATTCATCATCAAAGTAGACATCCTGCAACATAGACTTCATAAGATGCTTTCATGTCTAAAATAATCCACTAAAGCTTTCATATTGACTGCTCCTCAATAAATAACACAGAAAGGAGATAAAGAAAGATATAAAAATTTGTTCATATTTGTTCCACAAACGAAATCTTCTCCCAAAGGGGGTTATGATTTGTTTAGCGTCATATAACAAAGATTTTAGAAACTCAAGTTTCAGTTCTTAAATATAAGAAAAAGACAAATAATACCTCATCATCTCGTTCCATCGAGCCTTGGGCCTGCAGGGATAAATGAAATATGTTAATGATAGAAAAAATGTTTATACCATGTAGTCTTACAGTTTCAGGAAAAGAATGAAACGAAAATCAAAAGCTATAACAGAAAAATAATTGCTCAGGTAAACCGACTAAACCAAGCTACATCCGGCCTAGTTAAAGATGATACTGGGGAAGAGAAGACAGAAGGAAAACAGCATCTAACTATCCAGAGGATAACCAAGTGTAGAATGATTGGAGAAAGAAGTGACGGTTTGACTATCCACCAAATATAGAGTACTACATTAATCCCAGTGGTCCATGAAATCACCAAAACTTAAGACATTCACGCCTCAGATTTCAGTATGTATCATCATATATCCGGAACTATAACAGGATGAAAGGCCAACAAAAAATAAAGTGACTTCCTCCAAAATTTCTGAATCGATTTTCTCCTTTATTTAAACAATCGACACCCATGACCTTCCTAGACTAACTAAAGCATGTGGCATAAATCTATGATAATCATAAAAATGAATCACAAAGTAGCAGGCAGCTATGGCAAGGAAACACGAGAAACATCACCTCATCCATGTCATCGTTGCTGTAAATGCCATATTTAAAGGCCTGGCTCAAGTTGTTTGCTAGGGCTGCCACATCATAGTCTCTATCGTGGTAATCATCGTCATCGCTATCTCTATTGCGATCAAGGAGTGAAGTTGGCCTCCTGGTAAGACAAAAAAAATGAGTAAAAAACCATCACTACTGCCTCTCATGTAACAGTTACCAAAAACCTTCCCAAAAGCAAGCTCTTAATGCCATCTACTGGGAATGTGCACTCACATTTTAACTTGCCAAATATCTTGATTGTTGTTAAAGCAGATTACACAAATGTGTCAAATTTAAATAAGAAAAATACAGTTTCAAGCATAACCTCTGCTTTTGGTCATAATCTCTAAAAACAGAAGTCTATTTTATCAGGTTTCTTCAGGTCTAGCAAAACTCGCTCTTATAGATAGAAATACATACCCGCAGGCCCAAGAGTAAACATTTTCCAACGTATTACGCTTTGACAGGACATCCGTCTGCCAGTCCACCCAATTGCTATTTTCCTGGTAAAAGAAACGTAAAGAAATAAATCCTAAACAAGGTATGAAGATACTCTCAACATTTCACATGCAAACAAACTATCAAGAAAATATGCTTGGGAGAAATCAAACAGAGGTTTAAACTTTAACAAATTGTTTATTATCATCAGATCGTCTATAGAAAGATATACAGCAAATGTATAGAAATATCATACTCATAAATAAAAATCAGAAAACTAAGAATAGCATATGTATTTAAGCTGAATATTTCAAGTCTAATAAACAAATCTTTTGCACTTCAAAACCTGCATATGCACATGAATGTGTGGCAATCATCTAAAAAATAAAGTCTATCAGAGAGAAGTGTGGTATACCTGCAAATGTGACTGAATTTCTAGATTGCTATTAGCTAGCTGGAGAAGTTTATTCGAGATACGAGTCAAATGACCGATGCTTCCAATTCTGAGTGGCTATCTACCCTCTGCCGGGACTGTAGGCTGAAGCTGATACATAACATGTTAACCAAGTTAATAGATAATGATGCCAACCCCAGACGTTAGAAATTAAGTAGCTTCACCTTATCAGAATCAGTATCACTTAATATGGAGTTTTTTTCTGCCTCTAGTATACTCCCAATAAGATTGCACTCGCTGAGAAGATGGTCAAGAAGCTGAGAGTTTTTTCTCTCCAAACATGAGAGAATTACATTCTCCACATGATGATGTAAAAAGTTGTTGTAGGGATACCTGAAAAAAAATTGCACCACGATTTAGCATGCCATCTTGCAAATCATCAACTGGGAAAATATAATTTCCCACTTACTCGAAGAACAAGTCCAGCACTCTTTTCACCACTCCAAGTCGAATTACTTCCTTCTCCGCTGCTTCACTACCGACTGTAAGTAAGACTGAAATCAACTCTACAATCTAGGACAAAGAAACATGAGTCATATTTCATCTGTTCAACGAATGTAGTTCAGAAATTTAGATTATAACCATAACAGTGAAAAGATTCATTACAATGAGACAACAATTCATAGAAATAAGAATAACAAAAGTACCTTTAGTCTGTGTTTTCCAAGAGGTGGTTGCAACTTGCCATAGGTTGTTAACAGAACACCCTTGGCTGATGATACATTCAAAAGCATGAGTAAATCACCTGCATAGTCGAAGCGTATTACACAGTTATTAAAGCAACAAAGAGACTAAGTAACATTATGAACAACATATCACAGAAAAATATCTATAAAATAGTGAAAGAAGAATGCTATAAATGATAGTCTTGCACAACTAGTCTCTTTAAATCAAGAAAAAAAAACACTAAAAGAACACAGTATCTTTCTTCCCAACTTAGCCATACCTCTCACAACTACATATGAAATCTAATGAACATCTCGTATATGCTCACCTAGGCTTCCAAGCATTCCCTCCACTGTCTCGGGATTAGTTACCAGGGTTTCATGGGTTAGTTGACGACCATACATATGATAAGTCCCCAATGTAAACCTCTTAGGATCCAGCAGAGATATGCATACAGATAATGAACTAACCAGAATAGACTTAGGCCGTGAATCTTCTAAAGCATGTTTTAACAACCTTCCAGTGCAGCTGCATAAAAATTTACAGGAAACAAAACAATGTCAACAATAGAGATTTTCAAAAGCACCAGCGACTACATAAAAACAATAGCCAGAGCGAAAAAAGTGTACTTGGGGCTGGAAAGTTTTTTGGCAATCCCAAGGGGTGCGTATCTTGCTACAGTGCACAGAATTTCAGCTGCGTTGGCATCTACCTCGGGAGAATCATACAAAATATACCAAAAATCTCCAAGGTATTAGTAAACAACATTTCCTGGGAAGATAGAATAAATCTGAAATAAAGGAGGAAAGCCATAAGACTAGCCATATTAGAAGAAAAGTAAGCTATGTACTGAATGGAACTTACTGAGGAGCCAAACTTGTCTACCATCAGCTCTAAAACATCCGTATCTTCTACCCACTGCATTGTGCTTGTGTAGTTTGAATATAGGTGTTCATCAGTACCGATCAGGCGTTTTAAAACCTGAGCAACAGCAATAAGTTAGAGTCGAGATTCTAGAAACTATTATTTTACACATCATCATACAATCTTCAACCTATGGATACCTATACGTACAACCTTCATCGTTTACAGACAAAAATAATTGAAAAATCACTGGTGTGACAATAATAATTATACAAATCACCATGACAATGACGAGAGCAATATTAGCAGTATTGCCATTATTCTCATCGTCAAGACTGGGTCTAGTACTATTTTTGTCATAAACAGAATCATAGGTACTTTGAAGGGGAGGAAAGCATAACATTTTTTCCAACTATTCTGTATGTTCTCACGTAGATGTTTAACAAACGTAAGACCGAAATCGGAGTTCCTAAAACATAAATAGAAGTGCAAACCAACCTCCATTATAGATGTTATACCAATCAAATCAACAAGCTGCTTCAGTATTTCTTGATGATCCTGATAGCACGAGAAAGTCAAGGTTACACATAAATAAATTGTTACTATGAACTCCATCCAGATGGTCAAATGATGTTTAAAGCATTGTTAGCTTGTGTACCAGTTATCAAAATATAAACAGAGTTACATTAGACAAATATCCTAATTCAGGAAACAAAACCAACTTACTTTTATGAATTGCATGAAAGGGATCGTCTTCCGCACTAGCAGACAAATGACAACCTATTAATCGAAGATATAAGAGAGGGCACGTGAAGAATGTTATATGGAGCCGATGTGAGTGCATGGAAAGCTCTGCATGAGTATTCTGATAATTGAAAATTTGTCAGAATTCTAAATACCTTGCTAAAGTATCCGGCAAGCAATGAATTATGGGTTTCTTTGGCTTCCAAAAACGAAAACAGCAATAACATCAACTGCAAAAGGAAGACATCACGAGAGGTAAGAAACCCTAAAATCCATTTACAGAGCATAAATATAAGAGAATGCAACAATATCATATCTACCTCCTTATCCTCAACTAGTGTTTTCAGTATCATTTCAATCTCACATGTGAAAATTTCACAGGCAACAAAAGGAAACCTGTAACGCGTTTAGAAAAAAAATATCGAATAGTTTATTCATCAAAACAATCAGCAAAATAAAATTTTTTTAAAAAAAGCAATTTTCTAAAACATGTACTTGAATGTTCGCTTCTGTTCGACATCTTCGAGAGGCTCCTCTATTATGTACCTAATCAGTTGTTCCACTTGCACTCTTTCTCTCAAGCTGAAATAAAAGGAATCCAATAGTCAAGACTGAGCGGCATTGGTAGTGAAAAGAGAAACTAGTTAACGATTGAAGAATCCAATTATTTTGCTCCAAAAGATCTTTAGAAAAAGATCCCAACTGTTTAGAAAGCCAAGCTTTCAAGGTGAATATCATAAGCCAATTCAGTTAATAGAGTGAACACCCTAAGCCAATGCAACTAATGCCCTATTCTTATCCCCTCCCAGGAAGGTAATGAAGCATAAAAAATGTGGTTAGAGAGCATACAAGTTTAAGAATCGTCCATTGAGGGCTTTGCATTCTTGAATAATTTAGTCCTCGTCAAGAAGTTCCTCTAACGTGAAACCATCTTTGTCCAAAATTGCTTCAACCTGTAAAACGAAAAGAACAAAATTCAGAAAGCACATAGGAATATGAATAACTATTACTTCCCTTCAACAAGAATTAGATAAATCCAAGACACTTGGTTACTTATAAGACAAGAAAACAATAAACCTCCAAAATCCCCAGAAACGAATCCATCAACAAGAAACGAGTCCATGATAGGAACGAACAACAAAAAAGAGGTTAGGGGAGAAGGAAAACCTCACGGCAGAAGCCGTAGACAATCCGGCCACTCGCCAAAACATCTTTCCGTCGAATTGCCTCCACAGAGATTCCGATCTCCGAAACCCTAACAAGACAAGGGAAATTTTTCAGATTCGATTTCGGAAGCAAGTAATCCGAACCCTAGAATCGCTAATCGCTATGCGAAGAAGAAGAAGAAGAATCGATCTGAGATTGGTATGTGAGAGCGGATGAAGAGCACCTTCGATTGCGGGATGTATTGCTTACAAGGAAGATGCACACACAATGTAGTTCACTAAACCATCCAAATCACTGGTTTAATCTGACTCTAACCGATTATCCCAGCCACCGGCCTGATTCATAAAACCTTACTAACAAACTGATTTTTAACTATTTAACTAAATAAAATATCTAAAATTAGTATATTTAGATATAAAATATTTAAAAATTAATAAATATTAAATATAATGTTGGGGTCAAAATCGGTACGACGGAATTAATAGCCAAAACTTTCCGCAAGAATACAAAATGAACAGTTTTATAAAACTCGAGAAATCGTTTTATAAAACTCGAGAATCGCTTTATAAAACTCGAGAAATCGTCTTATAAAGCTCGAGAATTGTTTTATAAAACTCGAGAAATCGTTTTATAAAGCTCGAGAATCGTT